GTCTTTGTACAGTCAAATACACAAAAACAGTAACACAACTAATAATCTCATTTGAACAATGTCTGTATTTCTCACACATACTGCCCAGCTCCATGCCACGTTAGCACTCCGGTGTTGCGTCATTCCTTTTGAGCACAATAAAAGAGCCCCAGGCTTTGCCTTGATGTAAATACGGTCTCATTTCCATTGTTAAGGCAGTGGCTAATTTTTAGGTATTGAACTGTGCGTTGGTATTTGCTTAAATGTGTTTTTGTCAGCGTTTGAGTCTGTGTGTGTGTGTTAGGGAGTGAGTATAATCACACATTGATTTTTGAGGCTGTAATGAGCCACACGCAGCCTAAATGCCCCCCCCCCCCCAATTAACAACAAAGCAACAAATATCCTATGAATTGCAACTTACCGTGTCAGTGCTTACACTCAGTTGCCACACACCAAAGAGAGAAAAAAAGAAAGAACATTGATTTCTTGGTCTTACTGGGATTTCACATTGGGATTAAAGAGGGTGGTTCAACAGATTTATTCAGGTGTCTGAAGCTTCAGTTAACACAAGCTTCAGCTTTTGTTTGGACGTATCTGACACCTCGTCTAGTTATCTGTCAATCCGCAGCAGAAAAAACGTGGCTGACCACAGCAGGTTGACTGACAGCAGAACATTTCTGGAACAAGTAGGCTCAGAAAGGATTACACTGCTGCAGTTACTGATAGCTTTGTTGAGTAAATGCAGCTGTATTTTCAAGAAAAAAATAAAAAGTTCTTGCAGGACTGTTCTTTTTTTTGGCGTCGCTGTGGTTTGATGTGGTGTGCATATTAACAAAATGACTGCTGTAATAATGTCACCTTGCTAGAAGTGCTGAAAGCAACAAAGACGTTTTGCTGTCCTTTTTATTTTCTCACAATGGTTGCAGCAGAATTCTGCAGGACCCTGAATGCTGCACAGCAACAGAGGGGCTCCTGGTGAATCCTGTTATCAGAGCTCCAAGTCAGTCATTGATTTATCCATAGTAAATTAGATTAAAGTTTAGGTAAAAGCCTTATTAATTTGTTGTTGGTTTTTACTTTTGGCATGCAGATTTTTTTCTATGAACATTACTTAAAATTAGAAGCAGGAAAAAACTCACTAAACATTTGAAATAAAGAGAAATTAGAAAACAAAAATGACCCTATTTTTTAATGAAATGGTTTATTTGTTCTTTCTTTATTTATTTTCTAGGCTGAGTTTTGTGTTTGCCTTCGATATCTATGGTCTGCTGCATGGTGGTGAAAACCAAGTACGGTAGTAGTTAGCACCAGGCTTTTAGGTAGGATTCTGGAGGAGGGTGTTGACACTTTAAGCACGCACCAGCCCCCCACGCTTACGAAGTTTGCGCAAGCTTACGAAATTTATATAGGTAAATTGACAAAATTTATGAAGGTAAGAAAGGGAAGTTTAGGTTATAAAAATTGTTTACGCAGACTTACAAAATTTACGTGGGTAAAAAGAGTGAAGTTTACGTAGGCTTATGAAATTTAAACAGGTAAAAAGTGAAGTTTACGCTGGCTTACGAAATTAACATAAGTAAAATAGTGAAGTTTATTCAAGCTTATGCAATTTACGTAAGTAAAAAAGTAAAGTTTATGCAAGCTTGCGAAATTTCCGTGGGCAAAAAGAGTGAAGTTTACACAGCCTTACAAAATTAACTTAGGTAAAAAAGTGAAGTTTATGTAGTCTTACGAAATTTACATAAGTAAAAAAGTGAAGTTTATTCAAGCTTACGAAATTTACTTAAGTAAAAAAGTAAAGTTTATGCAAGCTTGCGAAATTTACGTAAGTAAAAATGTAAAGTTTATGCAAGCTTGCGAAATTTCCGTGGGCAAAAAGAGTGAAGTTTACACAGCCTTACAAAATTAACTTAGGTAAAAAAGTGAAGTTTACGTAGTCTTACGAAATTTACATAAGTAAAAAAGTGAAGTTTATTCAAGCATACSAAATTTACTTAAGTAAAAAAGTAAAGTTTATGCAAGCTTGCYAAATTTACGTAAGTAAAAAAGTTAAGTTTATGCAAGCTTGCGAAATTTACGTAGGTAAAAAAAATGTTACGATCAGATCAGTCATGAAAACAACACATAACAGATTCTGCAGCTGTAAAACTGTTGGCCACTTCTGCTATCCGATCTGGTGCAGTACCTTTTTAAGTTATCTTCCTCTGGCTTCAGAAAATAAGCAGAGTGCTTTTCAAAGCTCATGGAAGCTTACAAAATTTACGTTTGTAAAAAAAGTTACGGAGAGACCAGGACCGCAGATTATGACAACAACACACAACAACAGATGCTGCAACTGTAAAACCCACCTCTATCCAATCTGGTACCTCTGTCTCTTCCTCTGGCTTAACAGGATAATTGTGGTCACCCCCCTCTGTTGCTTATGTAATTTATGGAAGTTGACGAAATGTACGTAGTGCAAATTAAAATGTCTTGGCGGTCCTGGCAATCGGCACGCTGCCCTGAGGGCATCCTGAGGCATTGCCAGCTGAAAGAGGGTGCTGTAAAACCAAACAGGGAGTCGTAACAATGCCGCTTTACTSCAACTAAATGCCTGCTTACCAAGATGGTGACACAAATTCTTGCCTATAACCATCAGCCAATCTGCTTAAAAAATTTGAGATTGGAGTTGTTTCAAAATGGTAGCAGTCCTCTTTGGTCTTTTCCTTCTCAGGACTTGTTTACAAGTGAACATTCTCTGAAAACTTTTGTGTTTTTTCAATGTTAATAGTGTTCAATAAACATTGAAAAAAACACATTTACATGGATATTGCTGTGCTTGTTGAATCTAGTATAGTTTTCCATGCCAGGTAGGGCAGACTATGTTACTGTTGCTTTGAGGTTAT